CATCGTGTGGACGTTCATGAATGATTTGTTCAACGGTAATGACCGCGCAAGATTAATAGAGTCGGATCGATTAGTTAATTAAGTATAATATAATATACTTAGCTAATTTAATTCAAGATTTGTAAGAAGAAAAACACAACATATTTTATTAAACAAATCCATTCCAACAAAAAATTAGGCACACATACAAAACCCAAACCCGATTCATTTTCAATCAATTACAACAAGCTTACTATACTCTACTCCAGATATAACATCTTCCATGATCTTAACCGGATCGATCTCTCCACCACGATCCAAAAACACTTTGATCAAATTTTTCGAAAAACCACTCACCAAAGCCACTCCTTTCTGTCTTCCCATCACCGAAGTTGACCTGAGTCTCTCAAGTTCCAAACACACAATCTCTGGTACAACTTCTCCATACCCTTTCTCTCTAAATGCTCACAATCCTCTCATAATCCGTTTCCCAACCATTCCTTGAGAGAACAAGAAGTTTGATCAAACTCCATATCACTAAACACAAAACCCCTCTTAATCATATCCTCTTGTTTCAGTCTTCCATCAACTACAACCTTTAATATAAAATCAAACACTTTCTGAAAATCAGTATTTTTTCCCCAAGCGATCCTCTTTACAAAACTTGTTTTCGACCTCAAATCTTTTCCTTTGAAAAAATGCAGCTCTGGATTGTTACTGAAAGTTATCATCTTCCTTTTCCATGGCTCTTGAGATAACTCAGACAAAAGCAAACCCAAAGCAACATAAACCTCTAATGGTTCACCTGCCATAGATCCTGATACGTCAGAGATAGCAATGCAGTTTGTTAAAGACCATTTCTTCTTTAAATCATCCACCATTCGTTTCCATTGTAGCTTAGCTACCTGTCCACCATCTCTACCTTCTAAATCACGGATTATCCAATGAGGTAACAAAGCTCCCGCAGCTATCTTCGTTTTCTCCCTGCTTTTGCATCTTCAAGAAACTGCTGAAACCTCTCTTCGTCGTGATTCGAGAATATCTCCTTGTACGTTTTCATCGCCACTGATGCCACACGATCGTAAGGAAGAGATTGCCAGTCACTCGTTCCCATGTAAACCTCAGGGAGTTGTAGAGTTTTCCTCAGAGGAACAAGAACTTGTTTCCGTAGCCGATCACGTACTCGATAAGCATAGTGAGCTTCCTCAAGGCCTTCGTATTCAGGGAATGATTCACGTGGAAAAATTCTTTTAGCAATGCTTTCGCAGAGAATAGTTGCTTTGTCGAAAGATGAATCAAGTGAAGGACACCACTTAGCCGCTAGAGAGACCTTGTTTGGTTCACCGGATGTCAAGAACTCAAAAAGGAAACGGTAGTCTTAATCTTGTGAATATCTTGTGAAAGATTTCTTTCCCAATGATATCTTCTCAATCTTTCGATATAAAGATGCTTTTGCTTTCTCCGCTTGATTTATCTTCTCTGTGTTTGCTATCCTTTGCTCTCTTGTAGGAGCCCTTAGAGCCCTTATAGCTGCTTGCCTCGTAAAACGACCACCACGACCACCAATTCCAAATATACGAGAGGAGAATCTTGAGGTGTCACGAGCTCTTCCTCTACCTCTAGATAATCCTCTTTTCCTCTGGAATTGGATCCTACGGCTCTCAGAACCTTGTAGAATCCGATAAAGAAGCTCGGGAAAATCCTTAAAGTAGCCAAAGTTTGAGAGGGACTCGAGATTGCAAGCTAGGTTATTGGGATGGTAACCATGGAGCCATAACGCAGCCGTGTAAAACCCTTCCTTGTCAGATTTTCCAGTACCACGGACTCCACGAAGGTTACATATAAGCTTGAGAGTTGTTAACGCGTCATGATTCCAAGCGGCGTGGAGTCTTTGCTCTAGAGACTCCTTAGGAGTGTCCGGAACAACGTGGAAGAAGAAGTCTAGGCAGGGATTCCCCGAGGAGAGATATGATATAATGCATTTTTGGCGCATTCTAACCCTTGTTTTGTAGGCRTTTATCGAGTRTTTCACTCTCTATRGAGTCATRCTAGYTACAAAAAGTGGCTYGAAGCAATGACTGGAACTTGCAATCGGATTTGGCTAGAAAGGAATGAAGTTGGACCCTTTTTGAACATTCTGGAGAAAGGGAGCACCTAGTACAAAAGAGGGAGCACCTGCTCCCAGCAGAGTCATTAATAGGCCTTTTGCAAAACCCTAATTTTGCAACCCTAATTTTGGGCCAGCCGCCGTGGGCCTTTAAATATGTTTTTCTCTGGATCTTTTGAGGAGAATCACGCCACACACATCACGAAGGACAGCAGCAGAGATACATCACGACGAGAGAGAGAGAGATATATACACTTGTTTTGAGAGAGTTTGTAAGCTTGGAGATTTGTCTTCAAATACTTATCGAAGTTTTCTTAAACCCTACTCTTTTATATATCGATTTCAATGTAGTTTATCATGTCTCTTGCTGCTGT